GCAGGAATCAGGGCAATAGGGGACAGCTACCAAGTAGTAGTTTTTGCACTGCCAACCATGTGTTCTCATGCTATTATTTGACTTAAAAATTGATCCTAACGAGCTCTCTGGGTCTTGCTGATGCTGTCATTTCAGGCCTTGCCAGGAGGGGTCTGCTCTGCCTGCCCTCTCTTCTGTCTTGTCATAACTGTAAGGCTGGTGGAAATGAGCCAGCCTGGAACTGATGCATTGACATATCATCTTACGTTTGCTGAAGGTCCTTCTGTGGTCAGCTAGGACATTCATCACAGCCTTCCCATTAAAAGGAACTTAGTTACTGTTTGACAAGTTCCTTGTCAGCCAAATCCCATTAATGGTGTAGGGGTGCACGTGGACCCTTCTGCTAGGGTAGTAAGTTTTCAGCTTGTTCCCTGATAGGTCTTTACTTGTACCTCAGCAAGATAGAACTGTGTGGCAGAAAAATAGGTGAAGTCCATCCTAGTTCCTTGAAGTTGTTGGAGCTTTAAAAATATCTTCCTGTTATGGAAAATATTTTCTTGTAAAAGGAGCTGAGGAACACGATGTCTGGTTTGTGCTAAGTGTGGTTGTTTGGGGTGTTTTTTTTCCCTTTATTTCCAGTCAGCTTGGGAAAACACTCCTGTATACTTGGTTTTTACTGCTTTGAGGTGTTTTTCAGCTCTATTTTTTTCACAGAGGTGTTCCAGTGTGGTTTTTTCTATTCAAGCCCACATGTGAGTGTAGGAAACGCACATCTCGCTGCTCCGGAGATGAAAGTAGAGGATAAATGATGGGACAGGGACATATGTTTCAGATTTTGAGTGATTTGCTCATTGCTGTTACCAGTAGTGTTTTACAGGTTTAAAAAAATATACAGATGAAGACTTTGTAACCAAAACAACTCTAGTCAAAATACCTGTTCTTCATTTTACCATGTCAATATTGACTGGAGTGCCAGAGGAGCATGAAATGACAATCCTTGTATTATTTCCAGGTTCTTTTGTCCCCTGTGGCAAATACTTGACTCTTAGACTTGGGAGTTGGCTTTTGACCCCTATGAAAGAGGAGGACTGTTCATGTGATGCTGAAGATGCTTCTGACATGAGTAGCAGTGGCTATGCTCAGTGACCTTAGTCAGTAATTCAAAGGATCTGCATTACATACAGTGACGTGGGGGGTGCCTACCTCAGGAGAGGGGTGCTGGAGGAGGAATGACTCTGCACCCGTGTTTTCTGTCAGTGTTTTGCCAGCAGACAGGATCCAATTTTGCTGGCCATCGTTTCCATCTGCTTCCTTAAGGCTGGGGATAAGCTTCCTAGCCTGGTGGTGGAGGTCCTGAGGGCCAGGGCCCCTCTCCTTGTCCTCTTGGCTTTCCATCCATCAGCAGCTCTGAAGGAAAAGAGCTTGGTAGTTACTGGGCTGTGCACAGGGAGAGCTTTCCCTGAGCTCTGGGGACTGCTGTAGAGACCTTTCCCTCTAGGTCAGTGCTTCACCCACCTGTGTGAGGCATTTGTCACCAGCATAGTGCTTTCATTTACAAAACCAGCCCCAGTGCATGGTGGTTTGTAGGTTCTGTGGAGGATTGGGAGGGGTCATGCTCCAGAGAGCACACTGAATCTAATCCTGCCTGCTGATACACTGAACTGGGGTCAGTGTATGTTTAGTATGCTAGACTTTCTTGAGAGTAGGGGCAAACATTAGTCTGGGTATTTAAAAGGTAAAATGCTGATGTTGAGTTGTTGTTACTTTATTTCTTTGGAATATAAGTAGATTACATAAAAATAAAAAAAAAATTCCCTTAAATTGGGTCCCTTACAAAGAAAAAGAAAGGTTATTTAGCTCATAAGCAGAAATTCCTAATAAAATATTTTTCCTTCTTTTTGATAATGTAGCATGAAGCAATTTTATCTGTTTTTTCTGGTGATTTTGGAGAAGTTGTGTTAGCATGTGGTGAGCCATACTTAACACAAATTAAAGAGAGATTTTGACTGCTTTGTTTGCTTACTTCTCTGATAATACGTTTTAAAATAGAGCCCAGCAGAAGTTTGCATGAGAGATTAAGATCAATCTAATAGGCCTATTTAGCCTTGGAAATGGAATTTATTAGAATCAGTAGGTATTTTTTAAGACCTTTAAAGGCAAAGGGTGATATAAGAAAGGAGTTTCCTCAGAATAAATTCACTATATTTCTAGCATCTACTGGAGAGGTTTTTTGGAAAAGAATCTTGAAAATTACTCACAGGTATAAAGAAGAAATGTCAAAGGGAAAATGCAAAAAAAAAAAATCTTTGAGTGGATGTTGAAACCTTTTCTACGCTGTTCATACTTCCACAGAACATTTAGTTGACCACATAATGATTCATTCGAGTAGTGTGGTGTTCAGGAGTTTAGTCTTCTGCGAGCTTTGATGTCAGGCGTCTGAGTAGGAAGAGCCATATTATAGTGAGATGAATGCTGGATCTGCACAGTGCCTTGAATTGTAATGTTGGCTTGTTTCAAAGAGCAAAATGCCATGATCTTAAATCAGTCCCTCGGATACTGGGGGAAACAAAGAACTCTCATGTTTAAGGCTGGTGTCAGAACTAACAGCTTCTTGTTGTTTGTTTTTCTCCTAACAGATTTATACGGATTGGGCTAATCACTATCTAGCAAAATCGGGTCACAAGAGATTGATAAAGGATCTACAGCAAGATGTGACTGATGGAGTCTTGTTAGCTGAAATAATCCAGGTTGTAGGTGAGTGACTCTCTGGTTTTGTACCAGGTATCCACCAACTCACTCAGAAATTCAGTCTTTATCTTCTGTGTAAACATGGGAGGATAATCCATCAAACTGCATGGATTGATGTAGATAATTTTCCTTCTGAGACTTGGCTAATTAATTTGACAAAGCCTTATCTTAAAGCATAGTGGAAAAATACTTTATATTGCTGATAAGATCTCCTGACACAGCAATATTGCCCCACACAGCTGAATGTTAAAAAAGCAACTGATGAGGAATTTTTTCCTCCTAGGATGCTGTTAGCCTTCACTATCTCAGTTCCTGATACCTTTAGATTGGTCTGAACATAATTGGCAGTGGGACTGTGTTGGACTGTCTTCAGCACAGTCCTGCTGTGTTGAACCTTCTGCCTCCAGTTGCATTTGGAAAATCCATATATGCAGGTAGGAAAGGAGAAATGGTATAATTTTTATGTGGCAGAAAAAAGAAAACTTTCATAATGAAGTTTCAGATCAGTACAGTTTGTCATTAATACAGATTTCAAGTACAGGCTCAGTTCTACAAAGCCATTAGCTCCCTCAGTTTGTGCTAATATGGTAGATAATGAAGGTTCTGAACAATTTTCTTCACTGGCCCCATGTAAAGCTGTATATTGTCCCTCTTCCCTTGGGCCTGGATCCTTCATTATTTCCTTCAGAGGCTCATCCATCTGGTACTTGGGATGCCACAAAACCCGTGCATGGGCCAATGGAGATGGATGGAATGGGAAAGCCTGCTAATGGGAATTAGGACAACTATTGTTGGAAGCAAACTGACAGATTTGAGATGCAAATTTAGAAGACAGCAGCGGAGTAACAAGACATCAGTGCATGCATATGTATATGTTTGAGATGCTGAAAATGAGCTAGTTTGTTGATTTAAGGTACAAATCTGCCAGCCCTGTTCTCAAATGAGTTTGGAAGCTGTAGGTCCAGTGACTCCACTAGAGCTGCACTAGAAAACGTCAAAAGAAGATTTTTGTCTCTGTGTTGTAGAGCAACTTTATAACTCGGTGGCATTCTGTGGACCTGCCACACAGCTACACGTGTATAAAAACAGGCCAGGAGTTGACTGTGTATTAACAGGTATTCACAGCTAACAACGCTTTATCCTCTGTTTCCTTAAACAGGGAAAATTAGGGGGGACCTAGGAACAGTTAGGTGTTGATTCCTTTCAGACATATCTAGTTGCCCATGTATTAATACTGGTGTAGAAAACTTCTGCCTGAGAACACAGGTGTAGGAATACAGCCATCAAAATGTGAAGCCAGTCGTACCAAACAGTTAAATGTAGCTGCTAAGTATTGACTTGTGAAAACTTTTACACAAAACAATATTTTCTACTGAATTTGGCTTTGATTTTCCTTTGCCATTTTTTTCAGCCTTTGGGCAAATATTTAAACTTAGGTCTGCAAGCTTTTAAAAGTTAAATGACAACATGAAGGATTTAATTTTTGGAGATGGTTTTCCCTGCGAAAGAAAGTTCGTATTTAAACATTCTCAGTTTAATCCTTCAGATTAACAGTGAAGAAGTCAGTTTTATCTGCTGTGCATGGCCCTAGGCACTCTGCATCTCCTTGTCACAGAGATGGTGATAACTTTCACGCCTAGCAGCAGCTTGAACTATAGCCTACAAAATACAAGTTTTGATTCTAACCAGACTGCATGCTAAGGAAGCTTCTATATGCAGTGCAGGAGAGGTTTTGGGGTTTTTTTTGTGTTATGGTGTGCTGTGTGTGAAAGCAGCCATAGAAAGGTCCTTCCTCCTTTGTGTTACATGCCTGGAGTATCTGGAGGTTATCCAAAGTCATCAAAATGGTTTCAGGTTTCATTATTAGTGATGGAGTTTTTCTTGTGTTCACCATCTGAGATTTACATCACAGATATTGAATTTTGAAATACTATTTAATATCCAAAGCTGGGAAATATTTTTTTTTTCTTTTTAAATGAAGACTCTGTAAGAGTTAACCATTGTATAGAGACAGTGATTGTGATCCTTTCTGCTCACCTCTAAGTGAAATAGCTGCATATTTAGGAAAACGAACAGCATAAGAGGAAATGATGAGTAATTTGGAACTGATAAGGAATCATCAACTGGTGGACAAAAAGCCCTGACCTTCACAAGTCAGAGGGAAAGTTGCCTTGGTTTAACACAGGTTGTGAGAGGAAGTAAAAGCAACTGTATAAAACCAAAACAACCAACCAAAAAAAAAAAGCACAAGAAAATTCAGAAAACTGATGGTAATGAAATAAGCTACAGATCAATTGATCAGAAGAGTACAAAGATGGCTGATGACATCTTGCAAAATGATGGTAAGGTATGAGGACATAAGAAATTATTTCTAGGTGAAAAGGGTAATACTCTTAAACACCATGTAAAAAAAGGAAGGGGAGAAAGAGATAACATCCCAAATAGTTGGTGTGTTGGATGTAAATGTCTCCCAAGAGAAAAATTAAAGGTGGCTTACATCTTGCTTTGCTAATAATTTTCTGATGTTACAGAAGAGTGTATTTGCTAGTGTATAGGGTTTATGGGGTTAACCTTTAGTGTGCAGCTCTAGAACAAGGTTAGTACTCCAGGCGTGTAGCAGTACTCAAGAAGTGTGGAAGTGTTGAGTAAATACTTTGGTTCTACACTTGCACACTCAAGAATACTTCAGAAAAAGCCAAATACTATGTTGCAGCAGAGTCCTGGAAACAAGTTGCCAACAGTCCAGGCAGTTTCAAGGGGTTAAGTCTGGGTAGTTTGCATCCAACAGCTTACAAAGAGACAGGTAATAAGCTTTGTGGTTTGCTAACATTGGTTTTAGATACATTGTGTGATATCTTAGAAGTTCTAGAGGACTAAGGGAAAAACTGTGGGACTGGCAGAAAAATATGGGACTGGTAGAAAATACAGCTTTTAGTATGAGAATGGGTGGCGGGCAGATCTGTTAGATTCATCAAATGGGGTGTGAACACCCACCTCTATTACAGTGAAAAAAAGTGGAAAAGTGAACTTAGATTATAACTGATTCTTGAGTCTAGCACAAAAAAGGGATTTTGGGGTTTGGTACTGAAATGTGAAACTGAGCAAACTAAGGCTTTCCAAGGCAAACATTTAACCACCTCAACAACTTAATTATTTCACTTGAGACATTAAAGATGGAAACTAATATCTTTTTCTGCAAGTAGAATTGCATGTAAGCCATGGACAAGAAATCTGAAAAGGAGTCTCCTGATCTGTGCTTTGAAAAGAAAAAAAAAAAAAAAAAAAAAAAATCAGAGCTATTGTTCATCAATTCCTATCTAGATTTAAAACCTGTATTCACTCTACAAGCAAACCAATTGACATGCAAACATCTAGACACATGTAGTACTCACTTTTCCACCAGGCGTGTTTCAACTTCCAGAGTCTAAATCTTGATTGTAGATGAAAGGAGTTCCCCCTTACTGCACAAGATTTTGTCAGACCAGTTGTTTTCTGCCCTCAGCTGTCTCTGGAGGCATGACCCACTAGAAAACTCCAGCTGCTTCTTTTTGATGGGTCTCAGTGTTTCACACATTCACTTGGACTGGACAACTACCATCTGAAAACCCTTTATTTAGCTAGCACTGATTGCTCTGGAATTAATTGAAATAAACATCCTTGGGATAGTTTTTTGCATTATTTACTTTTTTTTTTTTTTTTCTCAGCAAATGAAAAGATTGAAGACATCAATGGCTGCCCAAAAAACAAATCTCAAATGGTAAGTAGTAAAATGGTCTGTTGTTTGTGTGTACGTGGTTGAGTTTTGAGTGAGAGTGATTTCAATGTCTGAGACTCATAATAACAATTTTTAATTAGTTTTTCACAGTAGTGAGAGGAAAGGCATAATCTGAAGAATATTAATATGACAGTTCTTGTCCTGTTGTACTTCACAATAATTAGGCTTTATAATTTATCACATTATTCTTATATTGGTATTCTATAATATCAAATAGTTAAACAGGAATGTTAAAAATAAGATTTTGTTGCTTTATATAGACAGTAGTGTTGCAAAAGCAGAATTAGATATTTATTTTCAAGTTGGCTTAAGATTTCCTACATCCTTTGAAAGGAAACAAAGGAGCAAAATGCACTACATGAAAACATTTCAAATTGCAGACTTCAAGGGGGTTATGTATGCAATTTGGTTTTGACTGATAGGTTTTAATTTGTAAAAGGAGTTTGTTTGTATCTTGCTTATATATAATCATTAAAGTTGAAGAACCAAAAATCAGTGTGGTAAAATTAAAAGCAGGTAGTACCTTGAGAGCATGTCTGCTATGAGTGTTGGTGAGGCTGAAATTATAGGCAGAACTTTACTAAGAATGCAAATGCTAAGAAGCTGATTTCATAAATGCATCCTAGGAGAGGAGTGTTTAAAAAGTTATGAGAGTCTAAAGGTTATTTCCTTCTGTATCTTGAAAAAAAACCCCTCATTTTACAATGTAAATTCTAAAATCTCCCTTCTGCATTGCAAGTGCTTGCTTTAGGATATGTGGGTATTTGTTCTGTGTGAAGCTATTTTGACAAGTCTGTTTCCAACTGCTCCTACCTCCATGGCTGTCACTTGAGCACAGCCACTCAGGTAGTTAAACAGAAGATAACAGATTTGATGAGAGTTTGCCCTCTGAAGTCAGAAACCTGCACACTGCTTTCTGCTATTCTGTTTGGGCTTTTTGTTGTTTCTTGGAAGTTATCAATCTCGCTTAAACCCATGGAGCAAGTGCTGTGTAAAAAGCAAGCCATTTGAAAGATTTATCATTGCTGCTTTTTACTGCTTTGAAGAGGCTGGTTGCTATTCTTGCTGTAGCCACAGCAGCTGTCTAGAGTATAAATAATTGAGGAAACTTTGACAATTATTATAATTTAATGTTCCACAAGTGTATCAGAAGAGTTGGATTTCATTCAGGCTGGAGTCTGTAACAAATTCCTGGACGCTGGAGCTAGAAGTCACTGTAGGTTGTTATTCTCAGTGGAGGAACAGGGTTGTTCTGTGGGATAATCAGATGCCTGCTGTAGGTTGTTTGTAGAAGTCAGGTCTGGTTTTAAGCAGAGGCATGCAGGGGACACGTGCTGTGTCAGGAATTGTGAGGAGTGCTGGAAAGAAGTGTTTGCTCTGTGCTTTCTTCTCGGAAGCTCTGATTTGATTGCAGTTGCTCATTCAGGAGGGTGGAGTGAGGGGGACTGTTTCCCCTGCCTGTGAGACCTGGCACATAGGTCACAGCAAGGCATCCCCAGTGGTTCTTCTCACATGAGAAAAATGAGGATGGTGCTTGTGGCTTGCTTTTATTAAGTGCACGTGCTTACAGAGCCCTTTATCTTAAGGCAAGAACACAAGTATCTTCATAGATACTTCTTCAAGTGAATCTTTCGGTTACAGGTGCCGATGTCTATTTTGTGGTGTCTGTAAGGTGGGCACCACAGGTGAGTAGGTTTGGGGAAAAAAAAGACAAAAGCAGCATAAATTAAGATTTATTTTTTTTTTCTCATTAAACAGAACTACAATAGGAATGAGAGAGAAGCCTTCTACCATTGGGCAGTCATCTGGTTTGTAGAGTCAGGATGCCAGGAGCAGAGACACACACGAGCTGAGGTGTGAAGAGCCAGCTCATGTCCAGCCAGATATATCAGTCAGAAAGCTGGAGCAAATCTGTCTCATCCAAGCCCATTACAGAGATGTGAAAGCAAGTATATTTGCATCCATGTGGCACAGTCCTAAGCCAGTAAAGCCTGCCAGACCTTAGTGAGCTCAACACTGAGCCAGATCAGGTCTCTTTGCATTGTTCCCATTGCTGCAGTGCTGGAGAGCATCACACAAATTTGCCCAAATTGAGCCTTCGAGACAGCTTGGGCCTGTCAGGCTCAAAGCCAGTGCTAATAAGCCTTGGCAATTTAAGTTCAGTACTGCAGAACCATGTGGGACCATCAGTGCTTATCAACCCAGCCCTAGTGCCAGGAGTGACATGGCAAGGACCCCCACTGGCACCATGAAAAATCACTTAGGTGAGAACCTGTCCCCCCTCATCATCTTGTCTGGGTTTCTCTGCTGTGGGGGAGTATCCCAGTCTCTGCTCCAGATAAGACCTGGCCAGCTTTTCTATCATGTATTATAGGCTATTCTGTAGCTTTTCCTCTGCCTGAGACCTGTTTTGGTTTTGTTTTTTTTTTTTTTCAGACCTCTTTATTTTTGTACAGTAGAGATTCCCCTAAACAAAAGCCTATAATTAGGATGATCAGTTCCAACTGGCATGCAGAAAATCCTGTGGTTAGTAGAGTAGGTAGTTGTATGGAGCACAGCCTCTGGGACTGAGAAGATCTGGAGACTGTCACTACAGCTGCATCTGGGGTTTTAGAGTGAAGCCTCAGAAAATATTGGCATAGTTCTTGATAACTGGGCAAAGGAGAGTAAGGCAAAACCAGTTTCTTCTCTTTCATGCTTCTGAAGAGCAAAGACTGAGGTCAATAAACCCAAGCAGGACACTCTCTGCTAATACTGTTTGGTTACAGAAAAACAGAAATATTATTTTCTTTCTTCCTTTCAATTTGCCTTTTATTTTGGGCATGATGATAGCAGAGCTGAATGTTTGGCATCCTGCAGCATCTGGACTATATAGGAGGTGGTGGTTCATACTTGCCCTTCTAGGTAGTGTAGTTAATTCTTATTGATGTTGGGTACCTGTGCACATGCTGAATGTTACCTCTTGCAAAAGGGTTCATATCACTTGTATTTGTAAAATGATTAAGTAAAGAAAAAAAATATGTATAACACAGAGCATACAACACAATCTCAAGTCTGGCTGTAATGCCAGCCTGCAGAATTCATGTGCTGCAGGGGCTGCATTCTGTCTACGAGGAAATATGGTGTGTAAAATGCTCACAGGCTTTGAAGGAACATTCACAGCAACATTTTAGCACAGGGTGATGGCCAAGCATTTTATGATCTTGTATATTAATATACATCCTTATACATCCTTTTGGCATAGCACGGCAAGGAGGGAGAGAGAGGGGGGTTGTTGTGTGGCCTCTTAGATGCAAGCAATAAACCATGACATGAGATAATGACAAAAATTAGATCACAGAAGAAAAAGGCCAAGTACAAGACCTTTGAAAGATCAGAGTGGAGAAATGGAGAGCAAGGTGAAGGAAGAGAAGATCTGTATCAGACAGACTAGAAGTGACTGGGGAGAGAGGCAAGTAAAGAAGGTTAATTTTGAAAACATGGACTTGAAGGCAAAGGAGAGAGGAGATAATTGCTAGCAAAGGGATATGTTGGCTGATACAGGCAATGGTTGAAACACAGCTGAAGATGGGACTGGAAGAAGGGATAAAAGTAGCAGCCAGATGTCTTATGGGAGAGCTGGAGGGGTTTTGCCACCTTGAATGTAAAGCTAGGAAATACTGCATGTGGCATGTGAAAGAGCTAAGACATATCTCTATAGATACCTAAGAAAAAAAAGTATGAGTGAAGACTAATGAGGAAATGAATTTTTTTTCCAAGGTTCAAAATAAAATAGAAACATAATCACAGATTATGGTACTCTGGAAAGAAGGAGAGTGTTCAGTGTGACTGTTTGAGAGGTGATGGCATGTTGGCCTTGCTGCTGACGCCTGAAGGAGTGGAGCAGTAGCAAGGCTGTCAGTGCTGAAGGGAAGAGGATGGGGGAATCTGTGGGTGGAGACCCCAGGCTCTTTCATCTTTCCATGCTAAGCCTCAGGAAGTTGTGGGACACCCAAGACAAGAATTTGGAGCAACAGAAAGGCGTGTAGGCTGAACCAAGACCACAGTCCCTCCTATAAATAGAGGAGGAAATAACTGGTTCTCATGTGGGTTTGTGGTTGGTTTTTATTATTTTTAAGGATGATCACTTTGTGTATGTAAGTATCTGTGTTATCAAATAACAAAAAGGAGGTGGGTTTTTTTTTTGTGTTGACCAGAAGTTTTCCAGGAATCATCTATCTGATAGAGATATCAAGCTGTACTGGTAAAATAATGCTGCTCAATCTTTCTGCTAGAGTTTGTAGTGCAAACAAAGAACTTGGTACCACAGCATGGGTCAGAGGCTGCATTTCTTTTCAAGGACTTCATGAAGGTTGACATGAAGGATATGTTTTCAGTGATACTTAATTAGCAAGAGAACTTTTCTCCAGTGATGGCGATTTTACTATTTTTAAAATTTGACTGCTTTCAGGTGTTCTGAAAATGAGCTGTTCTGCAATGTACTTGACACCCAAAGTTAAAGTGCAGTTTGTGTGGAACTTCTCCAGCCTGGCAGAGATCCTGAATCTTCAAGGGAGCAGCTCTGGGAGGTCTAATTCAGTTGTTAGAGCTGGCTGTCTACTTCCCTCCTCAGAATGACACTTTCTAGCTCCACTCCCTGCTTTATGAATCTTTTTTTATTGGTGAAGAGAGGACATTAGTGAGTTGGCTGGCAGGAATAATCTGAGCTGAAGCCATCTGCATCATGCAGGCAGCAAACTGTGTGTATCTAATACCCACCAAGTGGATGAGCTGGTGTGTTTCATACAAAGAACTGAAAAGTGGCTGCTGCATTCAAAAGAAAAAAAAAAAAGACAACTAATTATTCTTAGTTGCTTGTATTTTTTCATGGAAAAGAATTCTGTCTTTGTTTTTCAAGAGTGTCTGCTCTAACCTCCTCCTCTAAATATCTTGAGCATTTTTATACACCCAGTGTTGTCTAAATGTTGCCATAGCTAGGTGCA